CAAAACAGTGTAAAGTTTTAGAAGCATAACTTAAACAACTAACATTGCTTGGAGTACTAGTTTACTATGTAGCTAAAACCAGATCTTTTTCATTACCCTATAAACTTTGGAAATTCCCATATACATATCTCTGTTTTCAAAAAACAAAACCAATAATCACCACCTACATCTCTGCTATCCCTCCAGTCCCAAAATCCAAATCCTAAACATACAGTGCTTTTAAAGCAGTGTAAATCAGAGTTGATTATTTATAAAGGAGAATAATGATTTATAAAGCAGTACACTAGCTTTGTGTGGCAGATATTTACATTGCTGTGACTTACAGCCATCAATCTATTGCTTCCTCTGCCCCAGGCTCAGCATCCTGCCCCACGCCTCACTCACCCATGGTGCCATACAGAGCCCACACAGTTTAGCTTCCTTGAGGTCTGCCTGTCAAAGATTTTGTTTCAGTCCGTGTAGCTACCCAATTTTTACCAGGGCTGTGCAATTACCAACACGACAACTGAGCACACACAAGCCCACAGTCAGCTGAACTTTCCTAAAGCTCACTCTGGACTTGACAGTGGTGGCTAATGGAGAGCCACCATCCCCTAGCTAGGCCACCGTGCTTCTACCTGTCTTCTCCCCCGGGATAAAACAGATGACAAAGCCAGTTGATTTCAGCCACACACACATACGAAAGACATCTTTTGTAAGGACTTCATGGTAAACCTGTGATGCTTTTCAAATATATGAAAAGCTGGCTGATTTAGTAATGAAATTTATCTTTGGAAAACTTGCCTTCTACTTAGCCAAACTATCCATATCTGTGAAAATCTCAAACGCATGTATTTTCAGAGCTGCGAGTCTGACTTCAGAAGGGGAGCATTTATCTTTAGAATAGGTAGGCAAAGGAGCTGGAAACTCATGATACTGCAAGAAAAAAAGTATATATGCACACCACACAAGGTGAAACATAAGTCTTTACAAATAATGTCAGCATCCTAGCATCTTCTACAAATCTTTTTCCAGTGTGCATCCTCTCAAGCCAGTCCTTTGATATAGAAATAAAGTATAAATGAAAAGTAAAAAAGCACAAGACTGATCTCATAAGTCAATCCATATGGAAAAAAAGTGCTATCTAAAATCTTCTAGCTTACACACACAAAATTAGAATTTAGAAGAGGAAGGATGTGCATAACGTAAAGGAAAATCCATCACCAAAAGTTCTATGCTATATCCAAGAGAGTAAAATATCCACAAAGGTAAAAGTTGGAAATATGTAAATATTCCTATAACAGCAGAGAAGGACTTACACCCAGTGTACAAACATAAATTCGCTCTCTCTATGTCACACATTATGCATATTAAATATTATGCAAAATATACATTCAATGCCCTGTCAAAAAGGCACCTCCTTAGTATATGACATTCAAAATGCACTCTGAGGGCCCCAGAAAATCCAGGAGAAAGTCAAAGCACCAGAGTTTGCTGCCTATTCTCCTTTTTAAAGCGGAAGCTCTGCCACAGAAACATAGTACATAACTGTAGCTAGGCGTGTTTCACAGACCAAACCAGGCCAAAGGAGAGAGCAAATCTGGAAAGCTTCTGCTTTCCATGCCATCATGTTCTTGCAAATCCTGGCAAGAATTCATGCTGACCTGATCACTATTAGCTGCTACAGATTACAACTCAATACCATCTGCATTTCCTTTCCCCAAAAAGAGTAAAACAAGCATAAGGCGAAGAAGTTATGTGTCTATTTTAAATCCACACATATTTACTCCAGAGAGTGAAAGGAAAAGAATAAATAGTCCACATTACAGATGTGAGTCACACTACTTAATGCACTTTTGGAAGATGCTCAAATACCACAGTGGTGGGCACAGCATAAGAATTTGAAAAGCACAAAATAGAAATAGAATGGAGAAAGGAAGTAGAGCCCAGGGACTAGCCATTCATACTGACACTCAATCACCATAAATTATCAAAAAAAATAGAGGAAATCCATGCTTGCCGCTTTCTACAACATTTGAACAGTTCTTGTGATATCTCTAAATGTCAGTTCTTGTTTTCAGCATCTTTTTTTATCTTCCCATATTTCTCCATGGAATGAAATGACACAATTTTATTGCTTAGTCAGACAAAAATACCTTCCACTTCAAAAGGAGCTTGCCTTCGAGGAGAATTACACTTGAACAAAGACTGCAGGATTTAGCTCTATATTTATCTCTATGCAATAACAGTAGTTCATTCACATAAATATTGGGGATTTTTCTTTCTTCTTCTTTCTCTTCTCTTGACAGAAGGAAACATCTGTCAAGAGACTTAAAGGCAGTAATATCTACCTAAAAACACAGAACAAGCTCTGATATGACTTTGGTGGAGAGTTGTGCTGAATAAATCTGTAGATATTTTCAGAATAAACATGTACCTGATGGTTCAAGGAGCCAATTCACTTTAAGAAAAATGAAACGGGTGACATTAATCTGACACCAGATCACTTCTCAGTATCCTGTAAAATATTGTGGGCCATCTATCCATATTCCACTGACAGCAGCATTTTCTGTTCTAGGCTATCCTTTGTGTATGAACTTCACACCATACCATCTCCCTCACGGCTTACACAGAACTAAGAGGAAGCTTTAGTGAGACATAATGAGAAGCTAAACCCCACATGAAGTTTGTAGTTTATCTTTAGATCTGATGAAGACTTTGCTTTTGTCCATTGTCTGCTTCCAAGATTCTGAAGATTACAAATGGAAGTAGTTCTGTTTCTTTTCTTAAGTTGGTTTTATGTTGTCATTACTTGAGAACAGTTTATTCTCTATTTCTAAGCTCAAAAGTTCAAGCTGATCCTAGTGTCATACTGCAATCGTACTTTATATCAGACCGTAAATATTGTCATCCACAAGAAGAGTTGCCAGGAACCTTCTTTAAAATGGTAATGATACTATTATATATTTAAACTGTAACTTGAATAATTTTCCATTTCCTTCTTTCTTAATAATTCTTAAGAGTGCAGAAATTTTAGACAAAAATTTCCATTTATTTTGATATGCCATACAATTTACCAATGTAAAGGAGTCTAAATTGCTTTAAAAATACCACAATAGTAAGCAAATTGTATAGTTTGAGACTGAGAGGTAGTAATAAAACAAGGTATGGCACTTTATTTCCAGTGCTTACGTTACACTGACATACTTTAAAATGTTCACCCAATAAAAAACCTTTTTAAATAGACATTGAAACGTTTTGAGGAGATCACCTCATAGTTTAGTAGCTGTCACACAAATGACAGCTGAAGTTTTCATTATGATGCTAACAATAATGCAACAAATCTCGAAAACAGACTCCCAAAGTCAGCAGCTGAAGCCCAGAAGCCAGCTTCCAGGTACGGAGCGCGAAGGGCCAGCTGCCGCTAACACATCCAAGTCACAATACCAGTTTTGGTGTTTAAAAAAAAAAAAAAACAAAACTGTTAGTGCTTCAGCTGCACCACATTCTTAAAAGTCATGTCCACGACAGTCGCCGCTTCGCTTATTTCTAAGCCGTTAAAAGTCAGCGTGATTACTCCTCCACGGAGGGAAAACAGTTTTCTTGAGTTTATTCGGTGCCTCCCAGCCGGGCCACAGAAGGACACGACCCACGGCGCCTCCCCAGCGGGACCCCCCGACAGGACTGGGGCACGGCGCAAGGGAAAAGCTCCCGCTTCCCCGTCCCCGCCCGGGCAGCAGCGGCAGGACGAGACTCCGCGCCGGGCCGGGCCGGGGGCCGCGCAGCCCCGCGAAGGGCTGCAGGGGCGAGGGCCCGCGGACACCTCCCGGGGCCGGAGCCGGGGCCCCGCGGACACCTCCCGGGGCCGGAGCCGGGGCCCCGCGGACACCTCCCGGGGCCGGAGCCGGGGCCCCGCGGACACCTCCCGGGGCCGGAGCCGGGGCCCCGCGGACACCTCCCGGGGCCGGAGCCGGGGCCCCGCGGACACCTCCCGGGGCCGGAGCCGGGGCCCCGCGGACACCTCCCGGGGCCGGAGCCGGGGCCCCGCGGACACCTCCCGGGGCCGGAGCCGGGGCCCCGCGGACACCTCCCGGGGCCGGAGCCGGGGCCCCGCGGACACCTCCCGGGGCCGGAGCCGGGGCCCCGCGGACACCTCCCGGGGCCGGAGCCGGGGCCCCGCGGACACCTCCCGGGGCCGGAGCCGGGGCCCCGCGGACACCTCCCGGGGCCGGAGCCGGGGCCCCGCGGACAGCTCCCGGGGCCGGAGCCGGGGCCCCGCGGACAGCTCCCGGTGCCGGAGCCGGGGCCCCGCGGACAGCTCCCGGTGCCGGAGCCGGGGCCCCGCGGACAGCTCCCGGTGCTGGACCCGGGGCCCGGTGGCCGCCGCGTCCCACGCCCGCGCCGTTCGGGCGGCAGGGCGGCCCGCTTCCTCCGGCGCCGGGGCTCACGCTTCCGAAAGAGCAGCGGGGCGGGGGCGGGCGGCAGACACGTTGCCGGGGGAAGATGGCGGCTGTGGCAAACCCACCCAGCGAGACGGCCGGAGCCTAGGCCCCGGCGGTGCCGGTCCGCCCCGGGTGGCCACGCCAGCGCCGGGCAGGGCCGCCGCCGCCAGCCCGGGGCTCGCCGCGCCCCCCGGGACGGGGCCCGATGCCGCCGATCCGCCCCCTCCGGCGGCGCCAACCGCCGCCGCGACCCACCCCCCCCTTCCTCCTGCCTGGCACACGCCGGGTGAGAACGGCACCTGTGCGGCCATGTTGGGTGCCTTGCCCCCGCCGGCGCCGGCGCCGGGGCGTGCGGAGCCGGAGCCGCCGCCCGCCCCGCTGGAGCGCGGCTGAGGCAGGCGGCCAGCCCGGGCCCCGCCGGCCTCCCGGCCCCGGCTCTGTCCGCTCCCGCGGCGGCAGGTCCTCCCCCCCCCGCCCCGACTCCTCTCTCCCGCCCCGGCCGTGCCACCCCCGAGACCGGGGAAGAGACCTCCGCGCCCACGGGCCGGGAGGACGAGGAAGGGATGCGCCCGCCCTTACTTGAGCACGGATTGCTCCTTCTCCTCTTCCTTCTTCTGGCGGTCCATGACGGCCAGAATGATCTTCCGCTCTTCCTCCGTGAGGTGGCTGAGGTCGGGCATCTCGGGCTGGGCAGCCGGTGGAGGCTGAGGGGCAGCGGGGCCGCCCCGGGGCCCGGCGGGAGCCGACATGTTTGGTGGGAGCGCACCGCCGCTACGGGAAGCGCTGCCCTGACTCCAGCGGGAGCGGCCGCCGCCGGCGCCGGGAGAAGCACATACAAATCAATACCCTGTAATCAACCGGCAGCCTAATGACGGCCCCGCCGGGGAGGGGCGGGGTGGCCGGCAGCCCCGACCTCGCACCCACCCGCCCGGCCGCCGGCTCGCCGGGGGCAGCGGGGCCCAGAGCCGGGGGAGCGGGGTGGGGAGAGGGCAGCGCCGGGGGCGGGGTGGGGAGGGAGAGGGGAGCGGGCAGGATTAGCCGCGGGAGCGCGGCTGTGGTTGGGGTGCGAGCGGGGTTATCCTAACCCCGAGCACCCCGCGGGGAGAGGGGGGGACGGAGCCAGCGGCGGGGAGGGGGGGGGGGGGGGGGTGGGCAGAGGCTGCCAGGGGGGAGAGGCGGGGGACGGGCGAGAGCGGAGCCCCGGGGAGCGCAGCGGGGGAAGCCCCAGCGGGCGAGCGCCAAGCCCCGGCCGCGACTCATAATTCCTCGCCGCCGTCCATGGAGGGGGCCGCGGGGCTCCGCGCCCGCCTCCCGCCGCCGTTTCCCGGCCGCGCCGCGCCGCTTCCTGCCGCCGCCTCGCTTGGCTGGTGCCCCCTCGGCTGCGGGATGGAGCCCGCCTAACCCATGGCATGGCGGAGAGCCGGAGTCACGGGAGGGGGCTCCGCATCGCCCCACCGCCTCCCCGACCCGCGGGGCGCGGGGCCCGGCTGCCGCCCCTCCGGGATGGGCGGCGAAGGGGTGGGGTGGGGGGGGGGGTGGGGGGGGAAGGCAGCGGGCGGCAGCTGTCCTTATTTATTTATTTATCCCCTCGCAAAAAAAAAAAAAAAAAATGAACGCGATAAAAATCACGCGAGGAAGGACAAGGAGGAGCCAAGGCGCCGGCGACGCGCTGGGAGGACGGAGCCCGGCGGCAGCTCGGGGGGGGGCGGGGAGAGGCTGCGCGGCCACAGCCCCGGCCGCTCCCGCCGCCCGGGGGGGCCCAGGTGGGGCGGGCGGAGCGGGGCACCCGCTCGGCCCCAGGGCGGAGGAGGTGGCGGGGGGAGCGCCGGCCCCCGGGAGGAGGAGGAGGAGGAGGAGGAGGCAGCGGGAAAGGCGGGGGGGGGGGGGGGGGGGGATGGCGGAGCGGCCCGGGAGGGGCCTCCGGCTCCCCCGGGCCGGGAACGGCACCGCCGTCAGCCCCAGCAGAGCCGCTGCTCCGCGGCCGCCCGCAAAAATAACGTCCTGCCGGAGTGTCCTTCAGCCAACGCGAGGTGTGAAATTTCCCTCGGCGTCTGTCTGAACAGATTCCTCCAAGCCAGAAGAGCAGGAATGTGACACTGATGAGAGAAGGCTGGAGAAATCCTCCTCCCGCCCTGGAAACCAGGCCGTGGGGGAATAAACCTCTCAAAAGGCTTTTGTTACCTCTGAATCCCTCACCTGAGCAGTCAGATTGATGGCAGGAAATAATTTCTGGAAAACGAATCCAACAATCCCCAAAATCCATCCTAGCCCAAGTAAATGGGAAATAACCTGTCCAAGAATGTGAACAACAAAAAATTAAATCCAGATCTGTAGGTTTTCTGTCTATTTACAGACAGAGTTCTACCTGCTCTTCTCTCACATTATGAGACATAACACCTATTTCACATCAGTGTCGGATATCATATAAGTGTATGTAGCAATAATAAAGTGGTTTTGCAAGGCTTAGTTTGGATAGTTTTGAAGTCTTCGCCACTTCTATTTCTAATGAACAGCAACTTACAACCAGGTGCAAAGGCCTGAAAAAAAAGTCATCTTCCTGAAAGTATCTGGGTCCTCATTAGCTGTATTTCCACAGAAAATAAATTCTAGGATGCAGCTCCACTGACTAAGGATATGCATGCGATATTGGGCTGAAGACATCATTCCTCTGGGAAAACAAGTTCTAGGGTAACAGATCACTAAAAGGACATGATGGATTAGCTGCGGTAAAGCAAGACTTAACAGTAATCCATGCCTATTATGCACATGTATTCATCAAATTTGAACTTTGTCTACAAAACATCATTGGCGTCCTTAGCTACAAGGAACCTGTTCCATTTCTTGATGTAAAATTATACATAATAGACCCTTTGTTGTTATACATAAACCAATGTATAGAAACTGAGTGTACTGTATTTAAGCAGATCCCCTTGTAAAATAAACTATATGATTTTTCATCAAGTCCTGAAAGCATTCTGCTCTTCCAGTCCACATCACCTTCACCTCTTGGACTGGATTCCAGCCAGCTGGCTCTCACCCAGTTCACTGTTTCTTCCAGGCACTGGATAAATCTGGCATCGAAGTCAAAAAGAGGAGGAAATGTAGAACTGTGTGTCATCAGATTACCAAAGATAGTACAGTCCTTATCAATCTATAAATGTTGAATGGAAGAATTAACTGGACTGATCCCTTTGAGAAACTACATTTTATCCTGGGGAAGTGAAGAAAGAGAGAAATCACTCAATCGCTTCTAAGAATAATTAACAAGAACTAGACCACTTGAAAGCAATCTCTCCACCCTGTCAGGTCATAGAGTTGTTTCAAAAACTTTTCATGCCATATCAGAGCCATAAACACTAACAGTGTTCTGACCGTAACTTTGGTTGCAAGACATCACTATAGTGCTTTGTGCATTGCTTCATTCATCTGAATTTCTGATGGATATTTACCTCTGAACTTCCTGGATTTACAGTGCCTGCTTCTATAACCGTTTCAATGCACCTGTGATTTTTCATCCACAAATTACAAATACCTGCTCTCAACATGATTGCAAAATTTCAAGAGCTTTCTTTTCTCCATGGTATTTGCCTTGTTCCCACTAAATCCTGCACCATTAAGTGGGTAACTATAAACAAACAAGTCCAGGGACAGGAACTGTAATCCCCATATATTAGCTAGCTATTTGCTTTGAAAAGAGAGAGCAGATTCAGAGCAGAAGACATCCTGTGACTCACTGAAGAAATGGTTCAACTTGACCTTTCTATGCTTCTACCTTCCTTTCTGCCCATCAGTTCCACCTATCATTCCTCATATTTTCCTGCAATTAAATTAAAATGTTAATTGTTCATGTTCCTGTCAGCCTACACAGAATTGTCTCGTGCTGTTACTATTATTTACATTACCCAAGTGACTTACTGATGAAAATATACTCAGAGCACAGACTTCTCTACCTACTCCAGAGTAACGGTGTCAACAGTAATCTACAATCAACCAACAAGACAAATTATTATCATGTAGTACGGTAATTTATAAAACTTATTTTTAAGGAGCATTCATTTGTAATTCCCTCAGTAGTGAAACATTTATAAATTCTGACCTTCACATTCATGTGTCTCCAGGTACCTGACCTTCCTGTTCATCTCAGCTCTTATTCTGAACTCAATACCATACCCTGAAAAAATAGATTCCCGTTGCTGTTTTATATTCTTCTGCTGGAATTGTTCTTCCACTGTATAATCTGCAACTGAAAATTCATTCCAGCCATATAAAAAAGTTACATGATACTTTCTTTTGGTGGCTTCTCTAAGTCATGCAAGCATACTGACACCAGCAGGGTTATTAATATAAGTTTTCTGATAGCACTTTCTTTTTTTTTTCTGTTCCTTTCCAGTTCTGTTAGACAGGAGGGGTTCCCAAGGAAACAGTGGTATTGTAACCTGGTTTTATGTATCACCACAAAATGTCTTTCACTCAGGGTCTCATTATACTTACTCCCATTTCCTTCCTCAGAGTAACTACAAGAGTAAATGAGTTGGTAGACTCATCATTCAAGCATGCTAAGTGCAATTCTTTCCTGAAAAGGTAACTAACATCTGCTTTATAATTTTTTTGTATAAGGAAGAAATCCAGTGTAACTAATTCTTTCCATTATTTTTGTCCCAAGTTAAAACATTCACACTTGGAAAACATCATTATGTAGCTGACATGAAAGGAACTTTAAAGTATACTGTTATGGATCAACGAATGGAGAAAATGAAAAACATGTTCCTGGCTGAGAACCCCCAGTACTCAGACTCTTGATGGATCAAATCAGATGTGTAACCAGCAAGAAATGCATGCTGTAGGACTGACTGCATTTTGCAAGGGACTCCTTCAACTCCTGTTAAGGAAGGACAAAACTTTACACTGCAACAATTTGTGATTCCCAGGTCCTACATTAAGTGCTATCAAACCATCGTGGACTGGTTTACTGGTGCAGTCTTGGATCTTTCCCAGATTTCCCCTGTCTAACTTGAGGAAGCTACTTATATTGTATAACATCACCTACATTTTAATTTGGTTTCCTTCAGGAGAATTTTGCTTACTCTATATGCATTTTTTTTCTGCTCCAAGGAAATTCCTTTTAGTTGGATACTTCCCCACAAGGGATTTGAAGAATGCTAGATATTTATGGGTAAAAGTTAGTTTTCTTTATTTGTTACTCTAATTTATCTTAAAAGAGGATTGTCCATAGTTTACACAGTACTGCCCATACCCCTATGTCAACTATAGTCAATGAATTAGGCCGTCCCAATTTCACTGGTGTAAATGATCTGTCTGCAGTAGATGGAAAAACTTTGGTCTTTTAGCTAGTGTCCTCACTTTTTCCTCCTCTCCATGCACATGATCAGTCTCTTCAGAGACTCAGAAGAAGGGGGAAGTCCTTAAATTGTGTTGGAGAGTGTAACCTAATCCTACCCACTTCCAAAACCTTTATCTGCTCAGGAACTACCAAAAACCTTTTGGATTAGAGGAGTGAGGGCTCACCATGACCATCATGGTGGCTGCAGGGGGGTATTCAGCAGCTACAGCCTTATTCCTAAATCAGCTTCAGTGGCGACAGATTGATTTGCCTTCTCTCAGTGGACCAAGGAGCTGGTATCCAGGTTATATTTTGAAATGTGACATGGGAGAGGCCCTGACACATAAGTGTTATGCAGGCACAGTTCAATGAATACTGAAGAAAGGCTCAGATTAGTCTTAGATTGTTTTCAGTTTCAATGCTGAGAGAGTTGGGGGTGTTCAGCCTAGAAAAGAGAAGGCTCTGGGGACACCTTTTAAGACTTGAAGAGGGCTTATGAGAAAGTTGGGGACAGGCTGTTTTAGCAGGATCTGTTGCGATAGAACAAGAAGTAATGGTTTTAAACTAAAGGAGGATAGATTTAGACTAGATATAAGGAAGACACTTTTCACAATGAGGGTGGTGAAACACTGGCACAGGTTGCCCAGAGAGGTGACAGATGCCCCATCCCTGAAAACATTCAAGGTCAGGTTGGACGGGACTGAGAAACCTGATCTATTGAAGATGTCCCTGCTCACTGCAGGGGGGGTTGGACTAGATGACCTCTAAAAGTCCCTTCCATCCCAAATTATTCTATGATTCTGTGAATGAGATACTTCATATGATTTCTAGGTCTTGGGATGTTTTGTCCAGAGCAGTTATACACAGACATACAGTTCATAAGATCATAAATATGATCAGTTCTAAAAACTTTATCATGTCTCACTCCTGCAATTCTGTTTACATCCTGTTTGAAATATTCTGACTGAATTGTGACATATAACATGCTGAATTAAAGGTGCAGGTAAAAGTCTTTACAGGATCTTAAACTTACTCAGTATTTTCTGTCTGAATTTGACAATTTAATTTTGATTGTTGTTCAGTTAGTCAGTTGAAACTCAAAGGAGGACTTTTTGAAAGAATTCCTGTGTAATGAGAGTTCTTTGGTTATACATTTCTCTTTGATTCTTGACCTATACCACCAACGTTTCTAAGTAGCTGGGCAGTGAGTTAATTCCTGTCCTCTAACA